GAATATGGGAAATATGTTGTATGTACAACTTTTAGAGCAAAAAGTACACCTAAAATTGCAAAAAATTCATACATTGCATATAAAGCATTTAACGTGCGAGGGTCATAAGATGGCCGAATGAAAATTGGACAAAAAAAAAACGATCAGGCGATGTTTTGCCCTTCAATCGACTTATGCAGAAATAACAGTACTGCTTCATCTTCATTATGTTCCTTGTGTATTTCTTTTAATTCACAGGTTTTTTTTTCAATTCATACTTTCTATTGACTCTGTACAAGAAATCAATCCATCGCGAGAAATAAGCTACAAAACAGTAATATTCGTAAGACTAACCCGAGAACCCAACAGCGCATTGATTCATAAAATTTGCGCCACTGAATTCTAAGACTTCATCGATCAAATAACTTAGGCCAACCATAGTACCGCTTGTTAGCGCAGCAAATACGATAAGCATCAACAAAAAATGCCTGGAACCGAGGAGAGGCTCCAAACGCCTGCCCTGGAAAAATCGTAAAATTACTAGGCTAAAATTTGGATTTAAGCAAATTATTAAAACTCATCAAAGTGTTTTGGAAATTTTTAAGATGCAAACTACGAAAGTCTGTTTGGCACTGTAGGCCCGCCGATGAGAGGGACCCAGTCGAATACTGACAGTTGTGGGAAAGCAGGAAGTGTCAATTTAGATACCCAGATAAGCGCGCCTGTATGTGCTTTAGCTGTTGTCCTATCTGTGTTTCATCCCTGAACTGTAAACACTAACGGCAGAGCCGGTGCGGAATGAGGTGGGAATCATCAGTAGAGTGCCCCATTCTGCCATGTTTAAACAAATATGTGACTTTCCGAAGGAAGATGAAGAAAGGAAAGAAGTAGAGGTGACAGCACAGAAAATACTGTTGCAGAGGTAGAAATAAAAGTAAAACTAATATGCAGCAGATATGTCTCTGTCTTCGTTCTTTTCCCGCAATACAACTAGTCAAAATTATTTTCACATCTTATATCTAATTACAGAAAAAGGGTGGCACTTAATGAAAGTTGCTAATAACGGAATGCTACCAATCGGACTACTTTCGAGTGTCTTTACTTCCACAAGAGGAAAAGAGAGGAGGGATTAAAGTAAAATCTGATAAATCGATTAAATCTGATAAATCTTTTGACTCGTAAATCTGATAAATTAATGAGACTTAGAAGTGATTTACCTAGCGGCATCTTCTCTCAATTTAAATTTAGATATTTTTGTGGTTGTAAAAAAGGTTGTAAAAAGTAAAAGTAAGAAAAAATAAAAACTGAATTCAAAATGTTTCGGGCCATTAAGTCGCTTACATTCCTATTCAGTACTGCAAGTCTTCTATTACTACTGCCTCTTTCCTATGCTCAATTCGTTAGAATTATTTTTCGCTTTCATTTTAATCTTGCAAATTCGTCACATGCGCATTTCATACATGGCGGTTAGGAGGCTGTACTGATGTTTCCCACTTTTACTCACATGCCGAGCTCGACCTGTGTTTACAGCTAAGGGATGAAACAAAAACTGCTTCATCAAATATCTATCAATATATAACTTCCCCCTCTCCCCCTCTCCGCTCATCCTCATGTTACTTAGTGGCAGAACCAAACTAACGCATCGCAATATTTGGTATCAGGAAACACCCCCTCAAAGTATCAACTTTTTTGTTTTTGGATTTTCGATTTGGCAATTTTTCCGCCAAAAATTTTCATGGGGCCAAACGTGAGAATCACGTCCCTTCGTTAAAGTATGGTGACGAAAAAGAGAGGTACCTTCCAGAGGAGTGATACCATATTGAAATAAAGATGCATATCATCTGCATGCATAAATACGGATGCAAGCATTCGTAACCATTCCGAACGATACAGAACACGAGATGGCAGAAGACACATTGCTTCTAAAAAAATTATCCGTGAAAAAATTGGCTAATTCCATGAACTTACTGGATTTCCATCCATAAGATTCTCCATTTACCATCAACAGAGCGAGTAAAAGAATGAAAAAATAAAAAGAATAATGCGAAGATATAAGACCGTATCGCTCTATGATTGTGCACATCACGAACTTAAATGTGGTGCGTCAAAGTTTTTTTGTTTCATAGTTACGCCTCCCCTACTCCTCTCCCTCCCAATTTCCTCAAAAAATGAGGCAAAAAACCGGAAAAAAAAGAGATTACCTATTACAAATATTTCCTTAGTCCCCTATTTCCCATTTTACTTCGCTTTTTCTTC